AAGTTCTTCTTTTCTTATAATACGCAAATAATTCATGGAGTTCAAAGAAAAATAAGAATAGTTTTGAAAAACAATATATATCATTTGATCCCTTATATCTCTCTCATCCTTCTAATCTCCCATGGTCTAATACTAAAGCTCTATCTCTAAGTTATGTAAGCAATTATTTATATTTAATTGTTGTGTGTTAAGTAATCTATGGTTTTTACCTAGAAACACTGATTCAAGGAATGTTCATCAACAATTTTTTAGATCAAAAAAAGTATTACAAATTCAATCAGCATTTCTAAGATATATTATCATTTCTAATACCAAAATGGAAACCTAATAACTTTTAGGAGGGACAATCTATATAATTTAATGCATACTTTCTGATGAATGGGTGATTACTGTACAGAACTTTGATATAAAAACTTCAACAAAAATTTTAAATTATTTTAAGAGTATTTCAACTATTTTAAAGGATTCTATTCCTTTTCTCTGTCAGTGCTTTTTTTTTTTTTTTTTAATAATTTTATTTATTTATTTTTTTCCCCCAAAGCCCCAGAGGATAGTTGTATGTCATAGCTGCACATCCTTCTAGTTGCTGTATGTGGGACGTGGCCTCAGCATGGCCGGAGAAGCAGTGCCTCGGTGCGCGCCCAGGATCCGAACCCGGGCCGCCAGCAGCGGAGCTCGCGCACTGAACCGCTAAGCCACGGGGCCGGCCCTGTCAGTGCTTTTCAAAGTGTGGTCCTCCAATAATCTGCATCACCTGGGAACTTGTCAGAAATGCAATTATCCTGCTCCATCTCAGTCCTACTGAAGCAAAAGGAGGCTGGGAGGAGCACTCTGTGCTTTAACATACCCTCCCAGTGATGCTGATATATGCTAAGGTTTACCGCTCTATAGCGTTTTAACCTGGAAAAAGAACAATTTAAACAACATTCTAAATAGAATTCAAATAACAAGATGAAAATTCCTTACCAGGAGGTGGTTGTGAAGGGTTAAAACTTGCTCGAAGAAAAGGAGGTGGAGGGATTGGACTGAATCCAGGAGGAGGAACAGGCAGTGACACAGGAAATGCTGGTGGGACTAAACTAACTGCAGGCACGGCTGGTGCTACTGGAATCTTTTGTGGATAGAAAATAGAAAGTCCATAAATCATTTTATCCACCTGCCACGATTACATCTTGGAACAACTAAAGATACATTATTTCTATTTCTTTTTTACAAAGGTAACAAATACCACTATATTAAGTTGTTTTGTTTTTTTCCTTTTTGTATACCTGTAAGTGAACCTAACTTGGGGTAAAAGCAAGGCAGTATTATTCAACAGATGGTATACGTGGAGATTGTGAAACCTATCCTATGTTTAAGTGACGTGAAGTAATGGGCATCTACTTGAATACAGTCACGCATCACTTGATGAGGATACATTCTGGCGTTGTTAGGCAATATCATCATGCGAACATCATAGAGTGTACTTACATCAACCTAGATGGTACAGTCTACTACACACCTAGGCTATATGGTGCTAATCTTACGGGATCACCGCCGTATATGTGGTCCATTGTTGACCAAAATGTTGTTATGCGGCGCATGACTGTAGTGAATATCATGCTTAATTTTAAACTGCCATCTCCCACTAAGTTTATAATACCCGCTATGTTATGCAACCTAACCACCGTTAGGAAGCTGGTAATAACAGCTTTAAAATGGCTGGAATTTCTAGCATAAAAATATCTTTTACTCATCCTAGGTACAGTAATTTCCAAATATTTATCTGCACTGTAGCTGTCCTTCTCTCCTAAATTTCACAATGTCAATGGTATATTCAATATCTCAACTTTCTTGTCTGAAAGACACTTCCAACTGCACATGCATAAAACTGAACTCTCTATTGTCCTTCCCAAAATAACTCCTCCTAGTCTTTCCCATTCTCAGATAATGGTAACTCTATCTTTCCAATTTCTCAGACCAAAATCCTTGCCTCTCCTCTTTCTCAAAACTCAAATTCAATCATGCCACGAAGTCCCACTGGATACACCATCAAAATACACCTAGTTATCTGATCACTTCTCATTCCCTCCACTGCTATCAGTCTAGTCTGAGCCATGATCATCTCTCATCTGGATTGCTGCAACTGTCTTTTAAGTGGTCTCTCTGCTTTTATCAATGCCCACTAATCTATTCTCAAAATAGTAGCCAGTGCAATCCTTTAAAACTGTGTAAGCCAGATCAAGTCACTCCTTTCTTCAAATTCCTCTGTCTCCCCATCTCAGACTGAAAACCAAAGTCCTTCTAGAAGTCTCCCTTTCACTAAGCTGCCTCACACTCACTTTACTTCGGCCCACTTGCTACTGCCGGAACACACCAGCACGCTCCTGGCCTAGGGCCTTTGCACCGGTTGTTCCCTCTGCCTGGAATGCTCTTCCTCAGATAGCCACGTGGTTAATTCCTCAGCAACTTTAAGTTGTTGCTCAAATGTCACACTCTCAATTAAGTCCACCCTGACCATTTTATTTAAACTTGTAAGCACCTACCCAGGCACTCTTGATCATGCTTATACTATCTTTTTCCCTCCACAGTATCTCATAAACTTATTTATTGTATATTTTCTGTCTCCCCTGTTGAGAACAAAAGCTCCGTAAGGGTAGGGATTTGTGTTTGTTTTCTCACTGATGTATCCCTATCCCAGGTGCCTACAACAGTGAATGTCACAGAGCAGGCAATCAAGCAATATCTGTTCAATAAACAAACATTTAAATATTAAAGATACCATTTCCAAAAAAAATTTTTTTCAAAAAATGTTTGACAAAACTCATACTTATTCTATTTTGGACAATTTCCTCCAAGTTTTAGAAAGTACATGAGTAAAAATAGAAATGTAAAACAACACATTAAACAATAACACAAACACCCAGCACTGACCTGTAACATAGCAACAGGTGGAGGGAAAACCTCTGCCTGGGTTGTGGCCACTGTCTCCTTTTCAACTGGAGGTGGGCTCTGAGTTGTCTGGACCGTCTCTTTTACGGGTTCTGAGCTTTTCACAGTTTCCCACTCTAAACAAAATATTTGAAATTGATTTCCTCTGGATAGGTGCAACTTTTCATTTTATTTCTATGTGTACATTTATTTCACGTCGACTAAGTCTTTCACCTACCTTGGCACATCTTTAAGATGTGTCCACAACTGTAGGTGCCAATCTAGGTTTTGCCCACACAAATCTGATTAGGATACTAAGGAGTCCACAGAAGCATGACAAGAAACACAAATGAAAGACACTAAAAGATTTCATCTAGAGAAAACACTGAGAGGGACATAATAGATATATAACTCACAGGCTGTCTGATATAAGAGGAACCAACCTTATTCTATATTCTGTCACAAGATACAAGGGGAGACCAACAAGGAAAGTATCATCCAATACAGAAAAATCTTTCTGTAAATACAGCTATGGAAAAATAGAACAAAGAGGCTCCAATGGTTCCTCCAATGGTTCTCCATCTCCCTCAGAGTGAAGATCAAAGTTATTATAATGACATAAGACTTTACACGACTTCGCCCCTCTGTACCACTCTGACTTCATCTCCTACTACTCACTCCTCACGAACTTTGCTCAAGCCATACCGGCCTCACGATTTCTGAACAGATTTTGCACTTGCTGTTCCCTCTGTATAGAATGCTCTTTCCCCAGATCGCTGCATGTCTCACCCCTTCAAATATCACCCTCTCCATTAGACCTTCTTCAACCACTTAAAGCTGCAATAGCTCCACACCCACTACTGCCTATCCTTCTTCCCTGGTTTTTCTTCTTAGATCTCATCAACACTGAAATACTATAGAGTTTATTTATATGTTTACTATCTCTTTCCTTCCACTAGAACATGGTTGGCAAACTTATCCTACAGGAAGTATTTTAGACTTTGCAAGCCTGACATTCTCAAGTCGCAACCACTCAACTGCTGTTCAAAAGAAATCATATAAAATAGGTAAACAAGTGAAGGTGGCTGTGTTTCAATAAAACTTTATTTACAGAACAGGCTGCCAGCAGGATTCGGCCCATGGACTGTAGATGGTGAACTCCTATACCACAAAGTATACTCCATGAGAGGAAAGATTTTTGTTTCTCACTGCTATAATCCCAGTTCCTAAAATTATGCCTGGCACACAGTAGGAACTAAAATATTTATTGAATGAATATTTTGGAGGAATATTTATCAAGAAAAAAAGAGACTGACGAGAAGAAAACAACTGAAAAAGTGTTTGAAAATATGTGCACTGGCCTGAGAATGAAAATATTCTGAACATTAGCTAATTTTGATAAAAGAGCTAAGATGCAAAGAAATAAAGATACATATCATATTCTAATTCTTTTCCAAGTATCCATTTTAAGATTTTTTTACTGGTTATAATTGCTAATCACTTTGTGAATTTATAACTAGAATTTTTAAAAGTAAAAAGATAAATTTTTAAAAAGAGCAGGCCAGATAATCATTTGGTTATACGCATTCTAGAACTGCGTGAATCTGAACTACAGCTCTCTAAATTAAAATTCTATTCTAGCCATTGTAAACACGGATACTAATCAAAATAATCTAGGAAGTTTTTCAAAGAAGCTTCCTAAGACCCCAGTTCTCATTTAAACTCAAGGAAGTGAATGAAATATTTAGTTTAAAAAAGGCTCCATATACACAACTCTTGCTCTTAAGAAAGCAAAACTTTTTAAAAGACATACAAGAAAAACGCTACATTTATAGACTTCTAAAACACTATCTATACTCTGACACTTATGAAATAGGACCCATTAAGCATATACATTGGAAACAGTAGTGTTTCATTTTTTCCTCTCTTTTTTGAAAGAAGAATCCAGGAAACAAACACAATTCACCCTATGATGCAAAACTGTTATCAACTGCAACCTTTTAAGTGTACTTTTTTAACAATAAAACTATCCTTAGGGTTCTTACCAGTATTTACAGTTTCCTGATCAATCATGCCTCCTTCTGCAAAACCTTCCAAGTCATCCACTTTAACTTTTTCCCATGGTATATAAGTAACTCCAAGATCCACATCCCAGAATTGTTTATATTCTGTTTTCACACCTTTGTTTAAAGCCCAAGCAATCTATCAGGAATGAGGAGAGGAAAAAAAGAAAGCTCATGCATACTGTACAAACAAGGTAAAATGTTCAAAATAACATGTAAACAATGTAAACACAAATAAATCAGTTTTAAACATCAGTTGGATGGGCAAAGTATAACTGCTGGAAGAATAATAGTAGCCAAGAACATTTTTTCCATGTATTTTCTGTTTTTGTTTTTTAAATAAAACCTGCATTAGATAGTGATAGTGTTTAATATGGGATTTATTTCCACTTCTTACTGTAACTTTCAGACAACACGTTTCCAGAAACAATCCAAACAATTCAACTTTTCACCATAAAAATATCAACCTACATCAGCAATAATTAGAATAGTTATTATAATTTAAACAAAATCTTGGTACCCCCAGAAAGAGAAGACCAATGACATTTTAGTCTACATAGAGAAACTCTGCCATGAAATGACAAAGCATGGGCATACTAACTCCCTATAAAGTAGTTATTTTAAGTTTTTAATTCAGTTGCAAAAACTGATGGAATAAATTATCTCCAAGTAGCAGAAATGAAATGTAAATTAGTTACAAGAAGTAAAGATAGAAAAATATGCAATAAACACACAGTTTAAAGACTAAGAAGAAAATAAAAATATACTTAAAAATAAACCCTTCACAAGGGCCTGCGTTGTATAAGACAAGATATTAAGAAGGAGAAATTAATAATATAATTAAGGGGTATGATTAGGAAGCACTGGAAAGAAGAAGTGAATGACAGAAAAACTTGCAAAAACAAAAAAGTTCTCCTCATAAAATGGTGCCCTCGTTGACTAAGAGAACTGTGCACATGTGATTTCAAAGAACCATCTGACTAACATTTTGGTTACTGTTTTACCTATATTTAATTCTATAACTAAACAATACTGAAACAGTAAATTTCTGTCCCAGTTTGCCCATAACACTAAAAAAGAAGATGAATTAAATATAGGAACACTCTAATCACCCAATAAAACAAGAGCATGTGACGTCCCCCCCACCCCCAATCTCACCTTAATGACCTTGGACCCAATTTTATATGATCCAGAACTAAGTTTCTGAAGAGCCCGAAACGCATCTTGTCGATGAACCATGCAGACATAAGCACAGCCCCTGGGAGGAATCATCTAGTAAAAAAAATTTTTCTTTAGGAAGAATATAAGGAGGGCAATTCATTCTGGCATTTTATGGTTTTAACGAAACAGAACACTGACTACTGACTAATAAGGAACTGTTTACCCTTTACTTGCTCCAGCCATCTGTTTCTCGGTACAATTCATGTACAATTTACTTAATTTAAAAAAGAAAATAAAATTCAAAACCTAGTTGGGTCTCATTCCAAGCCATGATATCTGTGAAATCTTGAATATCACGTCAAAGTGTTTTTAATACACAATAAAGAACTATTAAAACAAAAAACATGCATACAATACCACCAGATAAAAGGAAAATAATACTGTATCACCAACATATTTGAAGGCATACAATTTATTCACAGTAGTATTTCAATTTTTCCAAATGTTATGTTGAGCAACGTGAGAAGATTTTTGTTTTGGGGAAGTATCTTATCCTTAACATACAATATATAATCTACAACAAATGATAAAACTAAAGTTTTTCCATTTTACAAAAATTTTGTCCATGTGCTCCTGGACAAAAGTTTTAATAGGAATAGGAAAACAGCCTCACTTTAAGTATCTGAGAGTTTTATTTATATAAAGCATTTAACTATTCTATAGACTACCAGATCATAAAATTATCCTTAACGTATTAATTCAGAAAAATACAGAGCATTTGTTTCTTTTTGAAGAACAAAAAAGGTATTCTATTACTTTATTATTACTCAATACCTAATAAGCTCTATTTGTCAAAAACTAATAACAAAAACCTTTCCCTCAGTCTTGCTAACACTTCAAACTGTCGCTTTAATACCAAACTTCTCAAAAGGGAAGTGTATCTTAACCCCTTACATACTCCCTTCATCTCTTGCAATGTACATCCAACTCCTGACCAATCCCCTGAAAACATTTTCTTCAAGCTCACTAACGACTTGCTAAGTGTGAAATCTAACGGACTTTCCTCAGTCCTCAAACTCACACAAACTGACCGAGTAAAAGGTTTATAAATCTTCCATCAACTTTTAAAATCCTGGATTTTATCACCAGCCATTCAGTACACTCCAGTACTTAAGTTAGCGCCTGTTTTCCGTAATTCTATGCTCTTACGAGGTAATGCAAAAGAGGAGAGACAAGGCAAACTAATGCCCAAATGACTGTAGTACAAGAAAGGCTACAAATGTCCTAAGCAACATGAAAATCCAGAATGCTAGCTGGATTCAGGATCTGTTCAGAGCAGGGATTACTGGCTTTGCATCAGTCACCCATGCAGCTGTGGTGCTTTGATAAGAATCTAAAGATATTGATCATGGGTATCCCTATTTTTTCAAATGTCAACATGTTTCTGATGTCTCAGCCAGGGCTGAGAACCACTAGTTAAGGGCGGGGGAAAATCAGAAAAAATTTCAGAGGTTATATGATCATGGACTCTAAAAGACAGTTATGTTTTGTGACAGATGAAATTTAAAAAGACAAAGAGTAAGAGAACCTACAGCACTCTTATGGTGTAGAAAGAGGAATTTGAAATACCTAGGTTGAAACACTCAATCAAACCTATTTATTATCTGTGCAACTCAGGCAAATCTCTTAGTTTCCTCCCTGGGAAAATAATGATTTCTGAATTACTTAACCAGCTTCTTGTGAGATGCCAGTGAGATCATACGTGGTTGAAAGTAAAATACAAAATGGTCAAACAATTCAAAAGAAGAGTTCTGTTATTAATACAGAAAAGTCAAGTTTGGCCATATAAGGAATGCTGGGATCTAAGACTAGAAAGGAAAACCAGGGCCTACCCCGTGGCTTAGCGGTTGGGTGCGCGCGATCCGCTGCTGGCGGCCCGGGTTCAGATCCCGGGCGCGCGCCGACGCGCCACTTCTCCAGCCGTGCTGGGGCCGCGTCCCACGTGCCGCGGCTGGAAGGATATGCACCTATGACATACAACTATCTACTGGGGCTTTGGGGGAAAAAAGGAGGAGGCTTGGCAATAGATGTTAGCTCAGAGCCTGTCTTCCTCAGCAAAAAGAGGAGGATTAGCAGGGATGTTAGCTCAGGGCTGATCTTCCTCACAAAAAAAAAAAAAAAAAAGAAAGGAAAACCAGGGGCCAGCCCAGTGGCATACCAGTTAAGTTCGCGTGTCTCGCTTTGGCAGCCCGGGGTTCTCCAGTTCAGATCCTGGGCACGGACCTACTCACCACTCATCAAGATATGCTGAGGTGGCATCCCACATAGAAGAGCTACGACTATGATATACAACTACGTACTGGGGCTTTGGGAAGAAAAAAGAAGAAAAGGAAGATTGGCAACAGATGTTAGCACAGGACCAATCTTCCTCAAAAAAAAACGGAAAGAAACCCAGCCAATGACCCGGTAAATAATGATAAAAGGTCCAACAGACAGGAAAGTATAACAACAGTGAATAAAATCAGAGGATTAATGAATTGTAAATCTCCTCAAACAAATGACTGTAAAACATTTCATTACTTAGTTTTAGCCCCAGGGAAAAACAACAGCCCTTCCACCAAGAAGGAAATACTCAAAGGAGACCCCGAGTGGGGCAAAACCACTGAAAGAATCAAGTTGAGGAGTGAAAGAGTAAAAGCTCAAGTTATTGGAGATGCTCTGGCCACACAGGTTTTCTTGTCTAAGGTTTGCTTTGAGGGAGGGGAGGGGAAGGCAACAGGCTGGCAAAAGACTGGGACCTCAAGTCCAGCTGTGTCTCCTCCACTACCTATGTGCTCAAGTGCACGGATTACAAGTCTGTGGGACTCAGTTTCCTCATTTTCATTAAAAAAAAGAAAAAAGGAATTACACTAGAACACACATAAGGTTCCTGATAACTCAAACATTTCATGTTTTTAGGAATCAAGTGCTACACTGCTATGAAACCCCAAAGAATACTGTTAGAATTCCACTGAAAAAGAAAAATTAATCAAGCAAGGAGATAAACAGCAACAGAATAAACACAGATTTGATTAAAGTCAAACAGTCTTTGTCAAGATGTGCATTATTAAAGGCAGATACTACTGGGCCAATTAGGCACCAAAGTGACTCTGTATGAGTGAAAATCCCCTATTTTTTTTAACCTTAAACTATTGTTTAAGAACTAATACTTACATTAATGGATTCAATTTGTCCAAACTCTTCAAACAGGTTGGTTAAATCTTGCTGTGTCGCCTTCTTGTCCACCTGACCAACCCAGAGAGTAGTACTACAGACTGTCAAGACATGAGAGACAAATGACTTAAATTACACAGACACAGTTACTTCTTCCAAGTACCTGAGGAAAAAGAAACAAAAACTGCATGTCACCTGTTCTCAGGCTTGGCTGCACGCCTGAATCACCTGTGGATACCTAGGTCCCACTCTAAAAGATGATGAATGGTATGGGATACGACAGAATGGGAACTGAGAGTTTTAAAATTCCATAGGTGATTCTAATGTGCAACAAACTTTCAAAACCACTTTTCACTGTAATCCTCCCTGTGCACCTTTTAAGTATCTTTCTGTTTTGAAATTATTAAGTGGATTCTCCCTAATCAAGTTAAATCTGAAAACAGTATCTTATCCTTAAGGAAATAATAATTTGTATTATTACAGAGACACAAAGAGGAAAAAGCTACATTAGAACTCTTTAACTTGTTATCATGAAAGGCTTACAGGTACTTAACTGTTGGAAGCCACCTCCCCTTACTAAACAAATGCTACACAAGTAACATCTTGTCTACTTTTACGTGTGCTGTTCATGCCTCCATGCATTTCCCTTTCCTACGGAAACTTATTTTAAAAATATTTACAGCTGATAGATTTGCAGAGTTTTAAATTTGGATTTATGTCAATGTCATTTTTAAAAAATTTGTTTCCACCTTTTTGATTACCTTTTATCCATAATAGGGCAGGCCTAGAGCAGGTTTTACTCCAGAGCTGATCCAGCCCCACACCGAGAACTGACCACTGCAAGATCTTTACTGAATCCAAGTTTTCAATCAGATCTCTCAACTCTGGGGGGTCAGAACTCTAATGTCTTCCAGACCTGTGTGAGCTTTAGGAATCGTTCAGCTAACAGACCCCCGGTAATTGTTCTTTCCCTCATGTCATCTCACCTCATGCATACATAACTTAATATTCAACTCAAGTCTCAAGGGGAAATGTATTAGTTTTCTTTTGCTACTGTAACAAAATACCACCAGCTTAGTAGCTTAAAACACAAAAACGTACTCTTACAATTCTGGAGGTCTAAAATGGGTCAACAAGGCTGCAATCCTTCCGGAGGCTCTAGGGGAGAATTTGTTTCCTTGCCTTTGCTAGCTTCTAATAGCTGTCTGCGTTCCTTGGCTCATGCTCCCAACCTGCATCTTCCACGCCTACAGTGTAGCATGTGCCAGCCTCTCTCAACGACGACCTCGGTATTTGAGGAGAACTGCTCCTCCTCTCTCTCTCCTCCTCTATCACAGGATGAAAACCAAGGACAAAATCATTCATTCACCAAACCACTTTTCAACTTCTTAGTCTGAAAATAATGTGGAGAGACTTTGTAGCTCATCATTTTTTTAATATTTGTTGAAACCAAAGCTCTGTAAAAATATATCACGCACCACTTAATGTTTTAGATCTAATTGGAGGTAACCCCTTCTTCTGTCGTTCTTTCTCCCTTTCTCTAGCTCTTCTTTCACTTGAGTATGAACGTGACGATTTCCTCTTTCTTTCTCTTGAGCGTGAGCGTGATCGCTTTCTGTGTTTGCGCTTTCGAGAACCAGATCGTGACCTAGACCTTCGTTTTCTTGGTGATCTAAAAAGAAAATCTTATTTTACTTCTATTGACAATGTTATTCTTCTATCAAATTTCTCACTTCTAGGTGAGGGGGGAAAAAAACAAAGAACGGTTGTCTTATATTTAGCTACCTCTTAAAAAATGTTTAAGTATAATCAAGTATCAAACATGCATTTTCCCAAATCTAGGTACTGCTTAGGTCCACCCTAGTCACAGACGTTTGTTTGCAGTGATTCTTACTTAGTCTGCATGATTATTCACAACCACAAGGAAGAGGAGAATAAGATTCTAGTAAGGGCCTCTATTTTAGTGTCTTCCAACTCATTTTTCAAACAAGAGGCAAGAACAGGGATGAAACAAAATAAAAAGATCCTTTAGATAATGAAAATGTTATATTCTTTGACATCCGATGTCAATCCTCCTCTTCTTGCTGAGGAAGACTGGCCCTGGGCTAACATCTGAGCCCATGTTCCTCTACTTTACATGGGACACCACCACGGCATGGCTTGACACGCAGTGCGTCAGTCAGCACCCGGGCTCCGAACCCCAGGGCGCCGCAGCGGAGCGCGCGCACTTAACCGCTATGCCACCGCGCCAGCCCCGAAGATGTTACATTCTTAAAACCAGTAAACAGAGAATGTTTCCAACAGAGCATTAGGCCAAATTCTGTTTACAAGTTTCCAACTTCTAAAATTTCATGGTGCTTGATGTTACAATATAAGGTGATACCGAAACACTGTTTTTTTCTCCCTGTCAACCATATGCCATCGAACTCTCTTCAAAATGCTTAATAAGGAGGTGTTGCTAAGACAAAGAAGCCACTAAGACAAAGAAGTTTTCAGCACTGACTGTAATTGCTTAGCAAGATAACTCACTGACATGAGGTGGGTTTAGAGAAAGGTGAACTGACAGGCTCTCGTATGCAAGAGGTAAATACAAATAACTTATTAAACAAGAAATGACTGGAAAAGTCATCCAAGATACTGTCCCTCTTTCAGCATTTACTGTTCAGATTTTCAAGGGTATTCATGTGCAGAAAATAGGGTATAAAAATGGTAAAGACTAATGACTTTAAGTTTTAAGACAGTTTGTAGCAAAAACAATGTACATGTGCTACATGAAAATTTACCAGATTAAGAATAAGGCACCTTCAGCTCAAATTGGAATGAGCATGTACATTAATGAGGGTTAGCCATATTGAAAAGTCCACAAAGAAAACCATTTATAGGATATGTTTTATAATAATTGGATATTATGCTTAATGTTTATAAAAATAATTCTTGTAGTTTATTTATTTATTTATTTTTGGTGAGGAAGATTGGCCTTGAGCTAACACCTTTGCCAATCTTCCTCTATTTTGTATGTAGGACAACGTCACAGCAGGGCTTGATGAGTGGTGTGTCGGTAGGTCCATGCCCAGGATCCAAACCTGTGAACCCTGAGCTGCCAAAGCACAGCACACGAACTTAACCACTACACCACTGGGCCGGCCCCTGTAGTTTTATTTTTACGATCATTTTTTGGTATTATTATGACATGAAAAAAAATGAAATACAAGAAATACAATGGAATTTCTAACACTGTCCTCTATAGCTTGATTTAGCTGTTGTTCAGAGGCAATAATATTCTAAACCGGATGTCATCATATTATTAACTAAAATCAGGTATAATCCAAAATCCAAGTCTCATGATATGGCTGCAATTATTGTGAATTATTCAAATAAATGGCCACAGATATATTCTATTAAAAACTGGCTACAGATATATTCTATTAAAAACAAAACAAAGTATTTTGAAATTCTGAATTACTTTCCTTCTGAGAGAATATAAGATATCACTCTAAGAAAAACATTTCCTTTAATCTTGATGCAAAGAAACAAAGCCAACATTTCAAAAGTTCAAACACAGCTATTAAATATTATTGTAGAACCTTGAACGAGATCGTGAATGTGTTCTTGATCTTGAGCGAACAGCCACTTTCTTTGCTTCTTGTTCAAAGATCTCCTCTTCCACTCCATCTTGTCCTTCATCTATATCCATATCCTTGCAAGTCAAAAGAACAGCAAACAAACAAAATGCCAGGTTGAGATTCAGTATTTATTGACAATTCTGCCTCACAAAATAGTCACCATAGTAGCATTAATGCCTAATAGCAAAATGGTTGGAATGTGGAGCTTACGAAGACTGGGGGGAAAAAGCATTAAAGACATTACCATTATTTTACATAAGATAAATAAAATATTTTACATAAAAGTTATTACCATATTTTACGGTATTTTTTCTCTAATTAATTTTAGAAATTTATGACCCAGAAAAGTATCTACTTTTCACCTGTTGCTGAATATCTATGGAATCATCCAAATTTGCTTCAGGTTCAAGGAAATGCTGTTGACTGCTCCCTTGTGATGGTGATGCAGAATGCTCTGATCCAAATGTTCCTTCTTGACTATCCTGAGGGGTTGCCTATTGAGAATGTATACAAAAATATTGGGAAATAATGATTATTATTACAAATGGAAATTTAAACACTTAAACAACACAATTTTTAAGAAGCCCAAGACATAAAGAAATCCCGTGTTCAATCTTTTCTAATCAATCTAAAATTACACTTACGTATAAATCCAAGTTTACTTACAAGTATGAGACACGTCCATAAAACGGAAACAAGACTATAAGAATAAAATGGTAAGATCAAGTAGGTCTTCAAATAAATTTTTAATTGTGGAAAATATAAACTATAAAAAATTAATAAAGGGATTATATCATGAATGATATATAATGGCACTAAGTTAAATGAATCTAGAAGTTCATTGGCAATTAGCATTTTTATAAAATGCTATAAATGAAAAGTCCAAAAAGTATTTTATATTAAAAAACTAAGTCACATATTACATATATAGAAGCAAAACAAAGCTCAAATGCCAATATCAAAATAACTGATCTAGCAAAAACAGTTCTCAAACTTTGCCCTCCCCACCAACCTCCATCTCTAGAAATTCACAAAATTCACAAAATAACACAGATATATGTTAAACATTTCAGAAAGTCTAATAAAGGTTAGGCAATGAAGCCTAATTAAAGAAACTTTTAAAAATTTGAACCTCTTTTTTTCCTAGGACTAGAATTACAGCAACTTGATATAGTGACACTGCTTACATGATGCTACTCAGTATGAACTTGATTAGCAATTACATATACTATGGTGTTGACTAAAAATGAGAAATCCGATTATTACGAAAAAAAAAAAAAGTCTCCCTACATAAACTCTCCTAACACGTTATCTTGCAGGTATTAAAGATTAATAAAAATAGTTACCGGTGGTACACAAGCTGGGAACTACTGTAATAATTAACAGAAAAGAACAACTCAAAACTACTGTTTCCTTGCTACAGACTCTCATAAACAAGTTACCTGAACTCTGAATTTCAGTCTCCCTATTTGTAAAAGGAATACTAGTATAGTGATTACAGACAACAATATTGTAATATAAACTTCAAAATTGCTAAGAGGCTAGATCTTAATTGTTCCCACCACAAAAAATAAATGATAACTATGTGACATGATGGAGGTGTTAGCTAACACTACAGTGGTAATCATATTGCAATATACAAATGTTCAAAATCAATATGTTGCACGCCTTAAACTTACACAATGTTATTTGTTGATTATCTCAATAAAATTTTTTAAAAAAATTACTCTTACTCTAGTGACATTTAAACTGAAAGAAAAGAAAGCTGCAGAAAAATTAAGAGCCAAAAAGAGCATTAAAGAACCGTTCCAAGTCTCTTAATTTATGAAGAAACAGGTTCCTCAAGGACAGGTAACATTTTCAAGGTTTAAGAATAAATTAAAGCTAAAGTCAGAATTAGAAAAGATTTCTTTTAAATTCCTGTTCTATACCACAATATTGACCAAAGTGTTAGTCAATAAGCATACTCTCCCAGGACAAATCAAATAAACATGTTTTAAGTACAGTCCTGCCTTATGTGTTTACAACAGTATTCTTAACAACAGAATTCTTAACTACACAGCAAGATGATTTTCAACTTCATCCTGAGCCTTACTATTTGGTCCTAATTCGGTACTCATACATTCTTCACATCGTTTATTCCCACTTCACCATTCACTGTAAGCCTCGTATCTACCCCTCACCCCCCTGCCTTGTTGTTCATCCTTGATTTTCTATTTAATGGCTAAACCTTGGGTATAACTACCAGGATCGACTGCAACCAATCTTAGTTTTTGAGTTTCTTTTTTGAGCAGTTTTACTTATTTCAAGATTACAATTTCATGACTTTTATTCATAAGACCTCTAAAAAAGAATAACAGAGAAAATTTACTTTAAAAATCCAACTAAAGTTTACCCTTTATCCTGCAATTAGCATTAAGTCCACCGGACCCTTTACTACATCTAAGATATGTTATGGGATCTTAGAGGTCTTATTTTCCTATATATTGAAACATTTTGCTATTTCACCATCCCAAGAATTCTTCTATTATTACTCATCAATTATGCTCAATTGTGTCAAAAAACACTAATAAAAAAAAAGAAAAAGCAATGGAATTGTTGAGAAGGGTGATTCAATAGTGAAATAAATCATCATTCAGTTTTACTGCATTATCAAAACTACTGCATCTTTCAAGAAGGTATAAACAAGACTGGAGACACCATCCCTATAGTCTGCTTTCAGCTTGCCTTGGAACATGGTTTAATATTTAGATGTTTCATTTTCTGTCCAGAATGGCAAAGAGAAGAAAACTGACTAAGGAACATACTTCACACTTGTTAGACAGAGTAAAAGATGAATGCAAAGAAATAGATAGTAGCGTTCTAGACTCTAATGATGATGGTACATTTAACATTTAAGTGAAACATCAGACTATGAGTTTTCAGATAACCGTACCCTATATGTATTTCTCAAACTCAAGAACTGATGAGAGAAAAATGTATCTCTAAGGACAAAAATAGGATCTTTTCATCCAATCAGTCATATAACAGGAAGGACTTCACCTTGCAATATTTTGCAACAAGCACCTGGACCGTTGTTTTGCTAAAGGAACATGTGACATTTGAATTTAATTGACACAAAAAGTTTGCTACATTTCAATTATTTTAAAATTCCTAGTACAATTTATCCCCTATCCCTTTAGTATCACTTCTGTAAATTATCTGTAAGACGACTTAAAAATATTTTTTAAAAGGATCCACTGGACTGAGACGGCAAATGACTATTTTTTCTGATATACTGGTATACATCCTAAGCATACATCCTTAGTATACATATCTAGTTTCTTCAATGATGTCTTCATGCAAAACATCAATAAAAATATTGAAAAAAATAGAAGACAAGGATAACAGCAGCTAGCAGAGACTTCTTTCAACGCTGGATTAACACTCATTAAGTGTCACATTTTGATCAGTTATAAATCTACTTTCCTCTATTTTTTTCCATATAAGTGACAGGAAAGACTTTGTCAAAGGCCTTACTGAAATCCACACATGCTATGCCTACAGCATTTCCTTGATTTATGAGTCTAATAATCCTACAACCTCAATACCCTGAAACGCAATTTATTTGACCCTAAAGACATCAACTCATTTAAAGCAACTCAAGGCTCTTAATATATCACCCATCTTAGGTTTTATCATCTTCAATTCTACTCTATTATATTCTCCTATATAAAAAATTACTGAAGCAAAATAAGTTACATATTTCTCATATCTCACTAGCAGCTCTTCATTATTAAGTGGCTGAATCTTCTATACCCTTTAATTCTTTTATTCTTTATATTAGTCTTACCATTTTCATCATCAGCATTTCGAGCTATAGCTCTCCTGACATCTTTTGAACATCCTGATAAAAGTTACCAAAATCACAAACTCCAATTTACTCAACAGACAACAGAAATCATTCCCCTAATGACATGATTGTTAGTCCCTTCACAATTCAGACATTATCTGAAAGCACGCCCCTTTCCATTGATTTTCTGTTGTCAGGGATACTAGACCTCAAAACGGATCCAGGTGTGGTCAGGCTGGGATGAATAGGGTGGTACTAGCAATCCTACTCTCTTCTCTAAGACACTATGATAACTTTTAGGCAGCCATTTGGCTTACTGATAAACAAAAATGCTTAATTTTTCTGCATACTTCAACCTATCTTAAATACATTAAGGCAAGTGGTTTGGTAGAGCCAGTTTCATAATTTATTGAATTCGTTACTCTGTTGATATACTTTTCCATTCTAAATTTATCATAGGTTTTAAACACTATCAACCTTACACATTAGAAAAGTTGCTTTTTTTCTTCAGCTCTTTCTTCATCATTCATTTTTTTTCATATTCTTAATCCAGCAAGTGGATTTTTTTTTTGAGGAAGATTGGCCCTAAGCTAACATCTGTCGCCAATCTTCCTTCTTTTTCCCTGTTTTCTCTCCAAAACCCCAGTAGATAGCTGTACGTCATAGTTGCACAACCTTCTAGTTGCTCTATGTGGGACGCCGCCTCAGCATGGCTTGATGAAAGGTGCATAGGTCCACGCCCAGGATCTGAACCGGTGAACCCCGGGGACGCCGAAGTAGGGTGCGCAAACTTAACTGCTACGCTACTGGGCCGGCCACTCTTCATCACCCATTTTTGAATAATGAACCTTTTAAGAACACCTACTCCTTTCAAAAGGATCTTATTACTGTATCATCTAAAATTTTGGAGATAATGTATAGAGCAATTAACTATGCCCAGAGTTCTATTTTCTTTTTTTTTTTTTTTGGTTGGTGAGATTCTTAATACAGAATCACTCTCCCTCAAGTTCGCAGTAACTTTCACTTTGATAACTTGGTATTAATTACAAACTGGTCAAGAGTACCACATCTTGATTTTACTGCTTCTGCTAAACCTTCTGAAATGAAAGTGGAACTAAGGCAATTCAAAAGTGTCACATTTATAGCTGAACAAATCTGTTGTTTGGATAAACTCTTCCATCACTACTATCTTGTAACAGCTGGCCCCTATAACAGCTCTGCGATTTTTTATATCACCAACAACCTGTTTCTTTTCCTTGCATTACAACTTGTATTTTTCTTTAAATAACATCCAAATGTTCTTCATTGTGCTCTATCTTCAAGTTTCTGAATTCTCAGGCAGCGTTATTTACTTGACATAAAATAATGCACCCACTCCAACCACTTCTATCACAATTATTTCTTCAAAACAAGGCATGCAATTCCATTCTCATAATTCCAAGTACAAGTTCCAACCTAGTAAATATCACTAATATGCATTTTATGTTAACTATTTGCGTTAAAAGAACAAGTTCAGACCCCAGCAGGGGCTAAGGTTTGCTATCCCTTCAATCTAAAGCAACTCTTCCCTCTTCTGTATTCCCACAGTCCTTCACTTGTATCTTTACTACAGAACCTGGAATTCTGCCTTGTGTTCATACAGATGTCTGTGCTCCATCAGAGAAGAGGTTACTCGAGGCCAGATGCTTTTCTGTTCATCTCTGCATATATCATTTGTCTAACAACGCACTGCTCATACTTTTAAAACATTTGTGGTATTATGTTAAATTCATTAGCACCAAAAAGTTTTGAATATTAAGAAGTGTGAGAGAGGTGAATTTCTAAACACTCCTATTCTAAACAGCTTACATCTATAAGTATTTCTCTCATAAAGCAAAAACAGACTTTGTAATGGATTTAATCCTGGTTTTGCAACTCGACATACTTTATCAATTCTAAACTGTGATTTTCCTTCACATTTTATCATCCCTGAAACTTATAAGATTCTTACAACTCCATGGGATGTTATACTCTAGCAGTCATTAAAAATTCTTACCTGTATATAAAATCCAAGGATGTGTCTTAAGACTAATGATATATAATATTAGCTGTATACTTTTGCACTAGATGTATAATTTCACTAAGCTTCAACTTCCTATGGTGTAAAATGGAAGTCAAAAAGCCTAACTCATAAGCATTAAAGGAAATCATGCCTAATAAAGTTCCTGCCACATGATAATAGCCTAATTAAGGGTAGCAACCTGTTGTCATCAACAATAGCAAAATCATCATTAATTTGCTTACAGAGAACTGAGTGGAGAAGAAAACATTTGAAGTTTTTTTTGTTTTTTTTTTTTTGTGAGCAAGATCAGCCCTGAGCTAGCATCCATGCCAATCCTCCTCTTTTTGCTGAGGAAGACTGGCCCTGGGCTAACATGAGTGCCCATCTCCCTCCACTTTATATGGGACACCGCCACAGCATGGCCTGACAAGTGATGCATCGGTGCGTGCCCGGGATCCAAACCAGGGCCACCAGCAGCGGAGCCCGTGCAGTTAACCACTACGCCATGGGCCCGGCCCCAGAACATTTGAAGTTTTAAGTTGTAATACTGAAATACCACCTCTGTCTTCTGTTCTCCACTCCCAGTACACTGAAATTAATTTCTACAATGCTCTCAATGGATTCATAAGTTGCCAGAACACACTTTTTTTTTTTTGGTGAGGAAGATCAGCCCTGAGCTAACATCCATGCTAATCCTCCTCCTTGTGCTGAGGAAGACGGGCTCTGAGCCAACATCTACTGCCAATCCTCCTCCTTTTTTGTTTTTTCCCTAAAGCCCCAGCAGACAGCTGCATGTCATAGTTGCACATCCTTCTAGTTGCTGCATGTGGGACGCGGCCGCAGCATGGCCGGAGAAGCAGTGCGTCGTCGTGCGCCCAGGACCTGAACCCGGGCCACCAGCAGCGGAACGCGCGCACTTAACCGCTAAGCCACGGGGCCGGCCCAGAACACATTTTGATTCCAAAAAAAAACTAAAGATCCTGAAAAGACTGATCTTCCTAGTAGTAAACAGCTGAAGAAAAATCAACATACTTAAGAAACAACAATTTACAGAACACAGATAGCAATAACTCTGATGACCACAAGATGGAGTTACAGACCTTTTGAGGCTGTTGCTGTTCTAGGAGTTGCTGTCTGAGATGTTCAAGGTTTTGCTGCTGTAGTTGTTCTGCTATCTGATGAAAGATGGAATTGTTCACAGATTCCGAAACATGAGAACTAAAAGGAAAAACAAGTAAAAATATATTTTAAAACCCAATAAAGATAATATGAAAATAACTAAATACTAAAAGAAAACCAAAATGCCAATTAAATGAAACACACTACAATGTTTACTTTTGAAATACTAACAAAGAAAATGAAATACTTCAGAACATTTATATGTTAAAATAGAAATATACTCTTCAAAATAAAAAAAGAAATATACTTCTCAAGAGTGTTTTAACATACGGATAACATGTTAGGGATATTCTGATGAAGATCTGTTACTACTGTCTCACACTATTAAATACATATAAATTAGTACTTTTTACATTAGAGCATTTTAAGAAAGTCTCAATAAAACACTTATAAAAATAGTTAAAAGTATTTAAACATCGTCACTTTAACTCCTCTTAACTATGAGATACAGGGAGAAACGGTCTATCAATCAGTACATGTGGAATCTACAGTTGTAACTGACCACAAACTTTATAAAACTAATCTGCTTTCTTTAAAGAAGCACTCACAGTATTAGGTATGTTAACACAAACAGTGTTTAGATAAGAGGAAATAATAATTTAACTATATTCTGGGAAATTCACACCTGGAATACACCTGGAATTCTGGGTGCCACAAGGTAAGACATGTGAACAAAAAAGAGGGCATCCCAAAATGGGCAATCAGGATGGTGAGAAGTCTTGAAACAGTTGGAAAAAAGTGTACTTCATCTGGAGCAAATAAACCTAAGGGGAAGAATGATACCTATCTTCAAATATTGAAAGGTATGTCTCAAAAGATATTGGAGCTAATTTGTTTCCTTGCTTCAGAAAGCAAAATGGATCAGTACGTAGAAAGCAAATCCAACAGGACTCAATAACACAAGAACATACAATAACAACAATTACCTAACTTCTCGTCACAGAGGGCATTAAGACACTGGATAAATATCTTAATAGGACTATTAAAGGAGATTCTTACATTATTCAGGACACTGAGCTACATGATCTCAAATAATTTTTTCAAATAGAGTCTGTATCAAAAGGGTGTGCATTTTCATGTATTATATAAATATATTTTCAAATATATTTTCCCAATATATAAGACTAATAACCTCTGTTTGAAACAAGATTCCCAGAGGCTTTCCCCATTCCTCATCCCTCTTCCATCCTCCCATCTCCCACCTCCCCCAGTCTCTCCCCACTGGTCCTTTCACGAACCCCCACAGAACCTAGGACTCTGCATGATTGCATATACAACAACAACAAAAATCACTGATCGAGATAAAAACATATAATTCATTTCTTTAAAAAACAAAATCCCTACAACTCTAATCCTTACTTACTTTTGATTAGTCTAATACACTTCCAGAACTTAGTATAATTCCGAGAAGAAGCCGTTGGCACTAGAAGCAAGCTTCTTCCCTATTATTTCAAATATTCTTACAATTGAGTTAAATAACTCAAAGCCTAAGATAGAAAATATCATGATCAGATTTATCAATTTTCCTATAAAGAATTTTGATATATCCCAACCATTTGCAAAGATCTGAGAGTCAAAATAATATAGGGAGGCAAAAAGACAGCAACTCTACCATCTTTCTGCCATGTCAGAGCTCAACAGCCTGACACAATAACCCAACTTATTCAAAGTACACTTAGCAGTTCAGATGGCAATGTCCCACCCGGTCTTCATAAAAATAACAGAAAAAATTTATGGTTATAAAGAAAAATAATGATTCTTACAGTTGAGAAGCTGGAATTTCCTTTTTGGGTTCTTCACTATGCTCAGAATCTTCCCCAAAATCAAACCTATCTATCAACTTCTAAGTGGGGGAAAAAAAAGGAGAAAGACAAATTAAAAAGTGCTTCACATAAATATAAATTACATATGCTATTTTGAAGGCCACTGACATCCTATTAATTTACCTTTATCACTTAATATGTAACTTTTATATCATTTTATGTTATAATAAAGCATTTTATATGAGTGGATCTTTACTTTTCTTTAAAGTACTTTGACATACACTGCCTTATGTAACAAAACAAATCATGACACTCCCAGGATAAATACTAATACTCAAACTTTATAGAAGAGAAGATTAGGATTAAAATAATTAAGTGGTTTGCCAATGGTAATAAAGCTTGATAAAAAACACCCAGGACTATAATCAATGGATCTATTCCTAGGACAGTTTTCTTATGAGAACGCTCAACTGTCTTCTAAATGATCAATTTAAAGGACGTTTTATGTGGTCTAGCTATTTAGAGTTAGACTAAATTAGACTTGAAAGCTGCTGGCTAAAAAAGTCTAAGTAATGGGGGCCGGCCTGGTGGCGCAAGCGGCTGGGTGTGCGCGCTCTGCTGCCAACGGCCTGGGGTTCGCCGGTTCAGATCCCAGGCGCACACCGACGCACTGCTTGGCAGGCCATGCTGTGGCGGCATCCCGTGTAAAGTGGAGGAAGATGGGCACAGATGTTAGCCCAGGGCCAGTCTTCCTCAGAGAAAAAAAAAAAAGAAAAAGAGGAGGATTGGCAGATGTTAGCACAGGGGTGATATCCTCACAAAAAAAAAAACTCTAATAACTCAAATCAATATTTATTTTCCTAGGAAAATAAAAATAATATGGATAACACTTCCAAGGTATTTTAATATTCCTATAATTAATAATACTGAGGATATCACACAATAAAGTATACATAAAAGATTTTCAACTTTAAAAACACTACCCTTTATAGTTAGGCCTCAATTTATCAATATTATGGTATAGTGACAACTTGTAGAGAAGTTTTCCTTTGAACTTTCACATACTGAACAATTTAAATTTATGTAGGTTAAAAGCGTAGAACACAGAATACCATAATTAATATATTTGTAACATTCATAAAAGGAATTAGAAAATTCAGAAAATAATTATTTGTCTCAATGGTGAATACACAATTTTACTGACCAGTTATCTTTAATCAAAAGAAAATACTCAGTATTTCAACTAGAATTATAAAATTACTTAAGTTTGAACCTTTTGTAAAATCTATAATGTTTTATACAATACAGTGGATATTAAAATAGTTCTATGATAAAATATAATTTAGAGAATTAGAATCCATATGATAGTATATAAAATTTAATACCTCATATAGAACAGATTTGATATCTTAATTTCTACCTTGTTAAAAGACACTCCCTGTTCTAAGGGATTAAGGGTGTTCGCTGCTGCAGCTGCAGCTGTAAGCTGTGCCGTAAGAGCCTGCAACTGAACGACAAGACCAGCATCCAGGGCCTGCAGAATGGAAGGCTGAGGCTTCTGCTGCTGTAGCTGTAAAGTCTGTATTAACTGCTGAAGCTGGAGGAGAAGAAAAGGAAAGTTATTACAAACAGGCGCTGGGATTTGTCTATAAGAATGCCACCCTAAAACTTTTAGTCAATAAAACTTGTCATTCTACAGTCTTCGGAGATCAAAAAATATGCATATATATACTAACTCAAAACAGTTAATTTTTTTAAAAAAAGATTTTTTGTGTGTGCTATATATAACATAGTCCTTAATAAGTTTGTCTTGCTTCTGGAAAGTCAGAGAACTTCAAACAAAATAAACTGGTCATACCATGACAACTAGATAAAGAATTCATCATCAGCAGACTGATTTTTTTCACTAAGCTTTTCATCTCTTCTTCAATTAACTCCTTAGCCTCTGTAAAAGGACAAGCACTGACAGTAACTGCTTTTGCTGTCTTTCAGATTTACCATCTGATAACACATTTCCTGAAAACAGGAAAGCCAATGAGCAATGTGTCCCTTGGAGCAGAGTCTGAAACTAAGGAAATTAAAGGTGAATAGCATCAACAAGAATTGAAAGCAACTCCTGTTCCCCCTCTTTAGCCACCCTCTTAAAAAAGAGAAACAATACGATCCTGAAGATATTTCATAGTTAAGTAAACCCTATGCACATCCTAGAAGTAATTTATACTTTCCTAATCAAGATCTAAACCTGAGTTAAATCTGAAAATTATCAGTTTAGAATAGAAAAATAAAAATAGCAAAGCTATTGCTAAACAAGACATCTGTATTCTTTTAAATGAAGTTCAACTTATAGTGGGAGAAGGTACAAATATCATGCAAGATGACAATAAGCAAAATAATTTCATGTCTATCTAAAATAGCAACATTAAAAAACAAACAAGTTATTGAGCTATCGAATAAACACTTACTATAAACTACTAATGTGACGACAAAGAAAATAACACAAAAATATATGATAGCTGAGTTACCACACTGAGGAAGCTCCAGAATAGACAGGATGGAGGGAGGAAGAGGAAGAAAGGGAGGATGGGGAACACAGGGGAGGGGGGAGGGAAAGAGGGAGGAAGGAAATGTCATATTCCTCCTTTGCACATGTTACCTGCTCCTTCTGACATCCCCATTTTTCCCCCAATAGCACTGCTATTCTTTCAGTCACCCAAGTTCAAATCACTGCAGCATCCTTTTTCCTCTACTCTGACTTGATATTCTATCCATTACTATGTCTTCTTGACACTCTTTGCACTATTTGTTCTGGAAAATCCCTTCTCCTGCCCAAAGTATTTATTTTAATAGGTATCATTTAAAATGAGAACATTTGCTTTATGAATTATTTTCAAAATACCATTATCACAAAACTAATAATTCAATAATTTTATCTAATATCCAATTCAGTCTCTCAACTGTCTCAAAAATGTAGAAACCAGATCCAATCTAAGACTGTAACTGAATTGGTTTTTACATCTTTATAACTCTAGAATGGTCCCATTTTTTTTTGAGATTGTCCTTTCAGAGAGTCCACAATCCTACTATTTTTCACATATTCATTACTTTCTTTCCATTATTACCGTTACCAAACAAAGATATTTCCTCTCTCTAGACTTCTCTCTCATTCATTAAAGTACTGTTCAGATCATGTGACTTCAACATAAAAATCTCTGGCAGTTCCTACTGCTTAGCATATGACTCCTTTACTTCTCAGCCCACCATTTATGTCTTTGAAACCCAGGTCCCACACTTAGGACTACCATTTCAACTTTATCACTAACAACTTATATGCACAGACCATCTTATCCCCCAGACAAACCAACTCTAAAATATCTTTTGTACACCTAACATTGTTATGCCTCTATACATTATTCATCCATTCTACAAAAACGTACTGAACACCTGTTATAACCTAGACACTGGAGATACAGCAGTGAACAAACAAACAAAAATCCTTGCCCTTGTACAGCATACATTCCAGTGGGAAGAGACAGAATAAACAAAATAAGTAAATTATATAACATAACAGAAGGTAGTAAGTGCTAAGGAAGAAAATAAGACAGATGACAGAGAAACAGACCACAGGGGAAGAAAGGTAGGGTTTGCAGTTTTAAATCGCTGTTTGAAGGCCTCATTGAGGTGACATTTAAACAAAAACTTACAGGTGGCCGAAACCATATGATTATGTGGGGAAAGGAAGTTTTACTGTACTGATCACACTCAATTTGGTTTTTAAAGGACAGGTAAAAAAAGAGATGCTAAGGGTGGCCTAACCTCATATCCTGCCATGACTAGTTCCATTAAAGTCTCAATTCAAATGCCACGTCCTCAAAGACACCTTCTCTTGGCTACTCTCTCTAATTCTGACCCCTTCTCCCAAACCTAGTCATCACCCTAAAGATTTACCTGTTTAAGTCATATATCACTATCTAAACAATGTTTTATACTTTTTTATTATCTGTCTCCCGTAAGATAAGAAGTCATTTTCTCCAAGATAGAAGACCTCCCTGTTTCATTACTAGAGTAACAATAGCACCTAATAACGTTTAGCACAAATTATGACTAAAAGTGTTCATGATGCATTACTAAATATACATATGAGTGTGATCCCATTTTTACAAAATAAAAAAACACATACTCTTTAGGTGGTACTTTATGAAACAATACATTAGGAAAATCGAGTTCTAAATCACTGTCAACATAACAAAGAAGCTGCTCACCTGTTGGCCTTGAGGACTTTGTAAGATCTGGGCTACAGCTGCAAGGGTATCTGTACTTGTTATCTGAGATACCCACGGATCAGGTAAACCTTGGACCACATTGGCTGGAGTAACGGGTGTCACAGGAGTTCCTTTTAAAAAAGACATCACACCCACCTCAATAACAAGGTAAGTGAATAAATACTTGAAAAACTAGAGATTTGCTCTGTCACTTTTATAAAATATATACATATTTAAATAAGTGTTTTTATTTTGTCTCCATTTTGAAAAACTATTATAGAATTAGGTAGGTTAAAAAAAAATACCAAAAGGATCTGTCTATACTTGTCCTCAATTAACTAAGCTACTACTTTAAAGGAGCCTAAATACTCAGCAGCCATTAAAAATCTTACTACAGAAGAAAATTCAATGACATAAGGACACATTCAAAATACTATCTTCGATGAAAAATTATAAAATAGTATGTGTAATATAAAACTATTTTTGTTCAAATATGTGTGTATGTGTGTACTTATATACATGTATACACAAACTCACAAACAACAAAAACTAAGTATATATCAAAATGTTAAATGTAATTCTTGGACTATGATAAAAAATTTTAAATGTTGGTTAAATACCTCAAAAAACCATCATTTTGAGATTATTATTAAAGCATTCTTGGCTCCATTAAATACCATTTTCAGGGTTCTTTATAAATACTAAGTTCCCTAGTATACTGTGAATATCAAGTTGATTTATACACAAGTTTAAAAGATTACAGACAGCCTGAATCAGAAAAAACCTAACTGACATGCCAATTTTCCAAAGTTCATTATATTTGTTTCTAGGAATTAAAAAAATCAGCTTTCTAATTTTTAAAAACAAATTACATACAAATATAATTTCTCATTTTATTTTTCCTTCAAATTATATTCTTTTCAATTACCTAATGCTAGACAAATTCTCCTGTACTGTCAAATTGTTATACTATAAACGAATAATCACCTGAAAAGCAAGAGTCAAATGTTTAGAACACAAATCTCTCTCAAAGCAACATACCTGGGGTATTGCTCATAGCAGCAGTAGTACTGGCCAAAACAGGTGTGACAACCGGAGGAGGAATCCCTGCTGCCATATCCAAAAGAGGCTGAATGATCTCACTCTTAAATACATTATTCTTCTGCCATAAGTTTAATACTCTCACTATTTTACTCTAGAGGAAAAAAGAAAAATGACATTTTAATTTTTTGCTTTCAAAACCTTAGCACAGTCATTTCACAGAGACTATTTGGGCAGTGGATGGGAAGGATGGATTAAAATACTTCTCTAGAACTTTCCATCCCTGAAATTATGTTTCTATAATTTTGCATTTGCTAACCTTAACTCATTTGAAAAAAACATGTTCATTTTGGTAGATACAGAAGGTAAACGAAAGCTACGTTTAGCAGATGGCAGGGATGACAACTAGGTTTCAGCTTCTACGTGAAATCTAATGAGATCAATGGCTATGGTTGGCTGGAGAACTGTGTTAAGGCTGCTGAGGCAGAGTCAGGGTTCATCTCAGCACTAAAGTTATATTTACAGTTGATTTTAACTTGATCTTTTAAACAAATAAGTAATTTCAAGACAAACTCTTTATCTTATGTGACATTTTAATAATTTCGTTTTAAAACAATCCAAGGACAGGGGTGGTTATTTCCTCACATAAGAGTTTAACCAAATTTACTTTCTTTCACAACTGTTCACCATAAAAAAGTTCTATAAACAGCATGAAGTATTAGTTACTACTGTAATGCTACTTACTTCATTAGAAAAATAAATCACAGAAGCTGAAATTAAGTATTAAAAAGAGACTTCTGTTAAATGTATCTATTTTAATAGTAAAATAAGCAATTTTAAGAATAAAGATCTGGTTCATCTTTAAGACTCTCATAATATTACACTGACAAATTTTCAGACTCTGTCCAAACTACATTAACGTGCAAGTTTCTGTATTTCAAATGAAGCATAAGAAAATTACACAAAGAATGCTTTAGACCTTCTGATTTGACTGTATCTTCTTTCTAAGATGTGTGCACTTAGAAAGTACATTTTTTTGCTTTATAGAAAAATCTTCCAGTTCCCAAGACACTCATCATGTACTCAAAACTAGCCAGTATCTGACAAGTATCACCCCATGTGTCTACCTACATACAAACAAATCACGTCTCTAGTTTACGACTGAGTTTATAGTATCAATGTAATCTTTCCTACTATGGTTTAAAAAAGATTCCTATATCCTAAATGCCATTATAACTGAGAAACATCATTATTATGAAGTCTGCAAATCAAGACTGATTTGTTCATTGTAACTGATAGAAATCCAAGTCCAAACTAGTGAAATTTCTAAACCAAAGTATTTAAATTACTTCAAAAAATGTTTACATAAAATTTCAAATAAGTTATTTTAGATGGGATTCTGAGGTATCTATTTTAAGAATCAATTATGATTAGTCACTTAAAATTAGAAGCATTCTTTTGCCTGCATAGAATTATCAAAGTACCAAAGTAATTTTTTTTAAAAAATTCTGTCTCAAGAAGCATATCTGGGGCCAGCCCGGTGGCACAAGTGGTTAAGTGCGCGTGCTCCGCTGTAGCCACCCGGGGTTCGCCGGTTCGGATCCCAGGCGC